CTCCTCACTATGTAACCAGACCATCGGTGCTAACGGGTTGTTAGAAAATGGTGTGTACGAGGCATTGCATGACTCACCATATTCCAATACATAATTCGGCACTGTTGTTGCAGTCACATCTCGTCGAGAGACATGGAACGCTGCCTCTACATGATGAGGAGGTATCGCACCCAGGATGGGGATTTGAAGAGATGAAATCCACGAGGGAGCTGGGTTCCACATCTTGACTCCAGTGGTATGAGGTGAGAGTTGGTCGTTAAGGTGGGCGTGCTTTGGGCTAATCAAACATTTCCAGGTCGTCTTTGGGACGCATCGCTCTTTCCGTCAGCAACATCGTGCCTCCCGAGTTTAAAAGTTTTGAACCTCCCCTCAGATTCGGTCACGGGAGACGGGGTTCAGTAATCCGTCATAGGAATTGAAGTGGGAAAGTAACGCAGACTGCATACCGCAGCTGACCCTCCGATTACCTGCAGTATCCCGGGGCTTCACATTCGATTGATTCGCCCATGTCTCATCAATCGGCTAACTGACAGGTACCAGAGCCAATGCCTTCTGGCTTTAGGGCCACGCACGGCCCAGAGTTCGGATCGGGTCTTATCTTTTTATCGGGATCTTCATCTCTCTACTGTCTGATTTTCGGAGACACTCTCAGCCCTCCACGACTAGCCAAAGTTATTTCTGCATTAGAGAAAATAAGCATGTCCAATGAATAATATCCGAGGTCCAACGTGGCTTGTGACCAGCAGGTCACGTTGGGCATCCCGTGATATCATCAGGAATCCCGCCATCCCCTGCAGTGATCACCCGCTTATCCCAAAGTATGCCTACTGACATCAGGTATATCATCCGTAGAATCCTCTACAACAGCACCCCACCAGACATTCCGGTCAACTGCGCAAAGTTGGTAATACAGTCCATGCTCATATCATACATAGAAGTCCAAAGTTTCGTTAACAATACACTTGCTCCCTCCCCAGTCAAATAACAGATAAACAGTCCCTTCTAACAAGCATTACAAAGCACTCTAATTCTGGCTATTCTTCTTCTTAAAAAGGCTCAAATCCAACGGAATCTTATCCCCCAACCACGTCGCCCGCTGCGTATGATTCCGCTCGTCCTCCTCCTCAGTTGTATTCGGATGAAGCAGCGCACTCAACGGCCCCCGATTGATAACAAGCCAGGGAATGAACGCCCCAAACTGCGCCGGGGTAAATAGATTAACTTCAAACATGGCAATGGGATGAGGTCCAAGTGGCCCTTCCCAGAATCGATAAATGCGTAGCTCGGGGACTAATGACCATAGCCGTCAGTATCTGCTTCTCTTCTACCACAGCGCAGGAGAACAAAAAGAAGAAGGGGCGGTAAGTTATACATTCACGGCGGACTCGCTCGTAAAGAGCCCTTGCGTATGCGACTTGTGCTGGATTATTCTGTTTGGTTATGGCCATATCAGTACTGGCCACTCACTTGGTTTTATGCTATATGGGTACCGTGGGTGGATAGCAACGAACCTGGAAATGGTAGATATGGACATCGAATCCCCCCTGTCGATCTTTTGCCAGCGGATCGGGGAATTCTTCATATGCTTTGCTTAGGATACCATGCTGGGGGTTCTTAATAGATTTGCCATCTTCGCTCAATTCTCTAGAAGTTCATCGTTAGTCTCATCATAGAGTATCCCAGGTGACCATGCACAAGACAATAGCGATATACTATACATACACAGGCAGCGGTTCCAAGCCCTCATACCCCTCCAAAGGCGAAGGATAATCATAAGCGAACGGATCAGTCATTGTGTTGTTGTTATTGTTCCTGGTTGTAGAAAGGACGACGTGAGGGGGCAAAAAGTAGCGACTAAAGAGGGGGAAGTAGATAATAGATATAGATCGCGGGGAAGGATTCGAAGGAAGATAATAATCATCCGCTATACAGGGTTTATCGGGAGACGTTGTCGTGGATAGATTATAAGGTAGTATGTATTTAGTAATAGATCTATTTGAAGTAGGTAATTTATTTCTCAGGGCTGTTACTGCTGATATATTCGAATGATGTGATTATGTGGATTTCTTGTGACAATTAGAAATGGATGGGGTTCGTTCCGCACTCTGACAAAAATCGCGGAATCGATAGTTTCTTGGCACAGGTTCCGTGTCGATGGATCTGGGATCTGATAAGATCTAGACCCTTTTTTCACCTTTTTTCGGTCGTTTGTTGGCCTATTTTAGGTTGTTGGGTCTTTTTGCGGTTGTTAATTTAACTTTTAGGTTTGTCGATTATTGTGGTTGGTGTTCGTTTAGTTGGTCTGTTATAGGGCCTTGTTATATATTTTTGTGTATGCTAAGAGACTAGGGGGATTAGAGTTAAGGTATAGGGTTCACGCTCTTCATCTCATCGTAATTCATGATAGGATACTGGATGTATAGAAGTAATTACTAAACAAATAATAGAGCCCGAAGTGGTAATTATCCCAGCTCCCAAACGCCAAACCCAGTTTACACTTATGGATCTCACTACCAAGAAGCCTTAACATCAATATGCCCATCCTCGTTGACATACTTTCCGCGATCCCATTCTCGACCTTCGCCTTTCTTGGACCACTTCACCTCCTCTAACCTTCCCTCAGAATCCCCGGCGGTAGATGTAGTGTTGCTTTTCCACTGCTTCACAAAAGCATCGTCGAAACCAGCTTCTCGCAGTCTCTCCTCGCCTCTTTGCTTCCAACGGGCTCGGTCACGGACTGCTTCGAGGGCGAGTTCCCAATCATCGTCTCCGGTCATGAGGCCGGCTACCGGGCGGCGGCTGGGCTTGCTACCCGCAATCTCATCGTCATCTTCTAGCTGCACATCCAAAGTAGGATCGTAGTCTGGGGCGAAATGCGCGTCAATGTTGCTCATATTAGGCCTGTAGGCACCCCGTCCTCGAGAACGAACCGGCGCAGCATCAGTAGAGTGATTTGCCTGGGGAGGTAGGGGCCCAACAAGATCCTCAAGAGGGTCCGATTCATATCCTGGCTGTTGATCTTGGGCAGCCACCGGGCACGAGGGCGATGCCGCCTTGGTTTTGCTTGTAGAGCTCATCTCTGGGGAACCTTGCTCGCGAGAATTGCGTACACGTGTATGCTCACGATCTATGTGTCTGCGCCGACCGTTGACTTCAACTGATCGAGAACGAGACCTTGAAGGTGACCTAGAGCGCCTCCTTTGTCGATGATGGCGACTGCGAGATTTCGTTTCTCGATCCTCTCGCGGAGATCGACTGCGCGACCTGGAATAGGACCGATGCCGACGACTTCTTCGAGAAGATCTGTGTCGATCTTCATCCTCGCCGTATGAATCACGCCTCCGCCGGTGTCGATGGGAGCGATCTCTGTCCGCCGAAGCCGAACGGCTTCTATGTCTTCTTCGATAGGAGCTATGTCTAACCTCACGGTCTTCCCTTCTGTCCCTGTGCGACTTGCGATCGTCTGGTCGCGGTTGGCGGCTATGGGAGTCTTTTCTAGAATCGTTTGATGAAGAGGCAGGTTGGTTCCGTAGCTGCCGCATTCGCTCTCTAGCTTCCCTCTCTTCCTTTCGCTTTAATGCGGAATTGTGATTGTCTGTTTCTTTTATAATGTGTCGCAGGAATCGCGTATTCGGTTTAGGAGCAGCACCTGTAGGTCTGCGATAGCTACGTCAGCTTTGGTGGATTTGAGAATGCGGAGGCGGCCACTAACCTCTTCGGCATATAGGCCCCCATTCCCAGGGCAGAGTACTTCAGAGAACTGTCGCGCGCTTCGTTTGTGAGAACTTGCGCAACGTAATCATCATCATCAAGGTTGCCATTCGCTCTCCCAGTGTTGGGGGGCATCGTAGCACCGAGTAAAGTAGTGTGTACACTGGAGGTAGACTGTCGATCTGGCATAGACAGGGATATCTATTGTATAGTAGTAAATTGATAGAGACCGGTAGCGCTGTATCACTGTACAATCCAATTAAAGCATGAAAGGAGCACACCATCTGTTTCACCGACTAAAGATCGGCGATGCCAGGGAAATGGCGAATTAGTCCGTCATACTTGCCGGCTTTTGGCTGGAGGAACCCTCACCGCCTGTAGGGAAGATCAGCGGTCTCACTAAATTTGTTTATCTCCGCATATTCTGCCGACGCGCTACAATAATCAGCGCATTGAGGGGCTTATCGTTGACGTTCACTTCGATACAGTTCGGATATACCAGTCAATCGATTTATACCTTGCCACTGTCGCAACAAACTACCAGATAGGCGTCGCATGCAAAATAATGTCGGATATTAACCCCGCGGAAACGCTGGAACAGCTCCAGCAACTGCAGAAAGAGAGCGGAGATCTAAAATCGCAGCTCGCGATTCTTCGTATCAGCGAACCGATCTTCTCGCCTGATGCCGAGAATCAGAGTCAATCTTTGTCCAAACGTACTTCGGACGCTTCAGCGATCGATAATCCCACGCCGGCCTCACTCGAGGCCGACCTAACACACTACAAGGTGCGGGTGTTGTTTGCTTGCAATAGATAGGCATACTAATGTTTGCGGTGAAGGAACTCTTCTCAAAATTACGCTTTTCATATGTCGAGCAAGTGACGAAGGAAAAGTTTCTACGTGCCATTGTCGGCGATCCTCCCCTGGTGGTCGGTCATAATGAGAACGTGGAACTCGAAACGCAATTAGCGGAGGTGAAGGCGGAGCTTAAGGCAAGCAAAGAGGAGGTCCGCATGATGATTGAAGAAATGGAGAAGACAGGTCGAGACCTCGCCCATCGTAAGTCTTTCACGCGTCTCTTGTGCTGCTCCCTGTGATACTTTTCCATTCCAGCCATCGAGAATACAACGTATAAGCAAGATACACTGACGACTATGTCATAACAACAGGATACAACAATGTCGAATTGCAGATGACGCAGCTATCCACTTTGCCCGAGTCCATCGAGAATCTAGAGTCTACAATTGCCGAACTGCGTGCCAAACAGGCATCCGATGCAGACGCTTCATCCTCCCAGAATCTTCCGCTTCCTGCAACTCTGTCGCTGGTGGCTGAGCGAGAGGCAGAACTTGCTGCGCTTAACAGACAGCTTGCCGCAGTACAGAATGCTTTACCTCGCAAGACACGAGAGGCGGAAGCAATGGAGCGAGAGCTAGGTGTCCTGGAACGACGGAAGTCAGAGGCTATCACCCAGGCTAAGGAGGCGGAGAGGAAGAAGCAAGAGGGAGAAAGCGATGGACTAGAGGAGACAGGAAGATGGTACAGAAGTGCAGAAGAAGCACTCAAACACCTAGTCGGCGTTGAAGGATGATATCGACTTTGGCCAGATTTTGGATGACTATGATATGATGGGAATAGGCGTTACGGGAATTGTGGGTTCAAAATACCAGCGTACAATAATATACGACTATAAAATTACGCAGGAAAGTTCAAGATTCGGGTTTCGAATTGAGCCTAAAGGCTATCATTTTATTCATTGAATGGTATGATCGTACAACATCGTACGCTATGCTGCAGTCACAACTAAGGCCCCACATTTTTATGTTCCAAAACGAAACCCGTCCATACTCCGGTTTAAATGATTTACTCATCATCCTCCTCAGCGGCATCGTCACCGCCCTCGTTGGCAGCAGCGGCCTTCTTGCGCTGGACACGACCAGGGCGACCACCACCGTAGGGGGAGGTGAGAGCGAAGTCGATGTGCTTCTGGGAGTCAAGACGGACCATGAAGGAGGGAACGTTGACGATCTGCTTGCCAACGCGGATGTGGCGCTGCTTGATCAGGACACGGGCGTGGTGGATGGACTTGGCAAGGCCAAGCTTGTAGACACAGGTCTGGAGACGACGCTCCAAGAAGTCCTCGACACGGAGGGCCAGGACGTAATCGAGCTTCATGCGGGACTCATCGAGCACACCGATACGGACCAGACGGCGAATCAAAGCGTTACCTTCGAAAAGACGCTTGGGGTCCTTCTCGTCGAGGGTGAGCAGCTCACTAAATTTGCAGTCAGATTCATGTCCGGACAAGCCCCATCATGACGCCTGGGGTATCGCAGGAGGGGGGACCAAGGACGCATACCGAGCAGCACGACGAATCTTGGACAGGGTGAGCTGGACACGCCACACCTCACGCTTGTTGCGCAGGCCGTACTCGCCGACAATCTTCAGTTCCGAGTCACTAGTGAAAACAAGTTAGGAACGTGAACACACGACATAAACAGAAGCACGCTTCTGATCAGTGGCCGGAGAGTACTAACAGACGAGCCGACTCGAAAGCTGCAGAGACATTAGCATATGAACGGACCTCTGGCAAGATATCAAATTTCAAATCGTCTAGGTTACTTACGACGACGAGGGACCTTGTAGGTCTTGGAGTAGACGCGACTGCGATTCCAAAATGATTAGAATGATGCGACTCAGCATTCATCATCATGAAGCCATATACTCACGGAACGGGGGCCATTGCTGCTTAGTTGCGCGTTGTCGCGGAGTTGTCGATACACCAAACTACACGAAAATCGTAGAGCTTCGAAGATGAAGTTGCATTTTAGAGGATAAGCGAGGGTGGATCGTGGTGGACCCGAAACCGGCTTAGCGCCAGAGGGCTTCTGCCCCTAGGCCCTAATGGCCCTGACTAAGACTAGTGCTGCCACCCTCAACGGGAAGAGGCTTTAGGGCCTAGGGCCAGAGCCCTAGGAAGCGGGACGGCGCACTAAGAACCCGAAGAAGTTCTACACCATCGGGAAGGGCGGCAGAGTGAAGCACTTCGTTGTCGACAAGTTCCCAATTCCAGCACCACCAACACCGCCGACATGGGTCACTCTCACGGTTTGAGATCCGGCACTCGGGTATGTTTGCGAATGATGAAATCAACGATATTGTGCCGCTTGATGGGAAAGGGTGCGCTGACGACAATTTGATATGATAGTATGCCTTCAGCCGTAACTTCAAGGAGCACGGCCAGATCCGCCTGTCGACCTACCTGAAGACCTACCGGTACGCCGAAATCTATCGCGAGGATTGGAAGTGATTGTATAATGTGCAGGATCTGATATGTTTATAGGGTTGGCGACATCGTGGACATCAAAGTCAATGGTGCCGTTCAGAAGGGGTCAGTTCATTCCGCCCATTAAAAAAAGCGACAAGTCCGCGTTGAAACAGATTTGGGACTTGCCTTTGAAATTGTGTGGGATCGTTTGCTGAGACTGGAATAGTATGCCCTACAAGGTCTACAACGGCAAGACCGGTGTTGTCTACAACGTCACCAAGTCCTCCGTCGGTGTCCTCCTCTACAAGGTTGTCCGCAACCGTTACCTCGAGAAGCGCGTCAACATCCGCATCGAGCACGTCAAGCACTCCCGCTCCCGTGAGGACTTCATCAAGCGTGTCAAGGAGAACGCCGAGAAGAAGAAGCAGGCCAAGGAGCAGGGTGTCCACCTCCACCTTAAGCGCCAGCCCGTCGGTCCCCGTGAGGCTCACGTCGTCGAGGCCGCCGCTCCCGAGACCATCACTCCTATCCCCTACGACACCCACATCTAAACGAATAGAATGGTCAGGTCGATGCGGTTGCTTGGTGTTTCTGGGTTTTGCCATCTAAGGGTGGATTTTGCATTGAGACGAAGCGAAAAAGGGTACTCGCATGTACTAGCACAATTCAGCCTGTGCATAGATTCCCCTGAATGAAACAAAAACAAAATTTCGATTCCCTGTTCAGCAAACTCAGCCGGGGCATTCGCCTGTCTTTGGCTTTCTCCGCGCGGCTCCGGAACCTTAGATTTGACAAGTATTGGACGCCTTGCGCCCGCCATGTCCTCAAATGCTGATATCTTGCCTTGCACGTGGGATTCTGATTTGGAATGTGGTGGTGTTCCACGAGTTAGGCTTGTAGTCAGGGCACTTTCGACACCAAATAGCGCTATTTCAATGACAATACATCTGCCTGGCAAAGTTCAACCAATTTCTTGTGGTCTGAAGATCAGTCTTGCTATCAATTCCTTGGCGAATGGTCACAGCTTTCACCCAAATGTATGCGCAAAGTAGCACGTCCAGTCTGGTTATCTCGAATTTACTATCGAGACTGTATCACGTATTCTACATCTCTTCTGCTCTGTTACAGGTAATAGCCTTTAGATATGTGGCGCAGCTAGTACTATCACCAGTAGCGTAGAGATTTCCATTCGGCGGGCGCCCAGACATCCGCCCGAACTCCGCCAATGGCAAAAAAACAAAAGAAAAAAAATATGTGAAA